AAGCTCCGGGGCGGCTCCCGCGGCGGTGGAGGGGCCCCGAGCTGGGGCGACGGGGCGAGGTGCGGCCGGTACGGGGAGCCGAGCTGCGTGGGCGGGGACGGGGCGCAGGGCGGCCGCTGGCTCTTGCCCGGGGCCGGACCCAGGGCGGGCGTGGGCAGCTCCGTCCGGAGCGCAGCGCTGAGCTCGGCCTCCGCCGCCTCCCAGGGGGGCTCGGGTTTGCAGAGTGGCTTCCCGTGCTGCGGCTGCGGAGCAGGGGTCCCCGGTCCCGGGGAGCTAGGCTGCAAGAGAGAGCAAGCAAGCGGTGACCCGCGGCGCTGCAAGGACACCGCGCCCTGTCACTTGGGGCAGGTTTGAAAAGTCAACTTCGGAGGCTTAGGAGGGGCAGTTGCAGCCGAATGCTGGTAGTGAGCTTGCCTTGACAAAGTGAGGGAACCCTGGCCTTTGAATATTGCTTTTTTCCTAAGCGAAGACACATTTCCGAGCCTTATTCTGAAAGAATTGTAATAACCCCAAAACATTTACTAGGTTTCTATTCCATAAGTGAAATTTCTATATCCAGCTTAAGGATAAATTAATTGGTTTGGCTAAATACACTTGCCCCCTCCTCAGGCAGCTTTGATTCGTAATGCCTTTTCGTTTTTCTTACAAACCACTCACATACAACTGACCCAAGTACAAGACTGCAACGTGTCTGAGATCATTAAGAAACGAAGGCCAGCGTCAAGACTGCTCCACCTCGCGCCAGCCCGGTGTCCCTTTCTAATGGATGTCGCGTCACACCTTTTGTTTTTAAAAGCATGGGCTGCTTAAGTAACTCCTGCTAGAACAGAGTGGGCATTTCGGATAAAGCAGGAGCTTTTGAAATGTGTGTACAAAACGGATCCTTGGTGAACTGCCTTCTGGTCTAATATAAGAGAACCACACAATTGAGACCGCAGCTGAGTATATTTGGAGGAAGTGTCCAGAACTCCCCAAGCGCCCGCATTCCGCAGAGCACCTGTCTGAGTGTTACCATCGAGGGTCAGTGGCCACAGTCAGGTCCGTACCATTACCTTGTTCATCTTTGAAGGGCTTTTACAAGAGTTTTGAGAAGTATCTGGGGATGGACATTCGTTTGTAGTTGTGGGTTCAGGATTTTCCGGATCAGGGTCTGGAAAGCAGAAGAGATCTATAGTAAATGTAAAAGTTCACGATCAATACTGCCTTTTTATTGACACGGCAAAGCAATGTGCATTCTCTTGTTTAAAAAGGTTTAAGACAGTCAATAGCCATGACAGGTCATCCACTTACTGACCTTCCACGAGTTCACTGAGAGGGCCTAGGCCCTTGGGTTGCAACTGGGGAATGTGATTTGAATGAGATGAAGGTGAGGACTGAACATGGCTCGGGGAACATGAGACACATGGTGATTCTCCCCCTGGAGGTGAAGCAGAGCAGACCCAAGAGAACGTTAGCGCTCCGCAGAAGCAAGGGCAGAGCCGGCGCGGCCCCTTGCTGGGGCAGGAAGGGCCTCACTTACCGCTGTCCTTGTCTTTCCTGTGATCGCTGAGCAGTAAAGCTCTCTGGTAGCTCCTTTCTCTCACTTGTTCCACTGAGGTGGAGGCAGTCCTTTAAAATAAAACCACAGCATCCTCATTTCAAAGAAGCTACTGCCACTTACTGTTCTTTGTCCCATGGTGGTCAACTCTCCCTCTCTACTGGAAAAATACTTTAGAGTTAACTTTTGAAAACAGCCACTCTTGTCTTACTTTCAGGACTGCTCCCGAAACTGACGTTTTTACCCCCATATATCTGAAGGGCTTAGACCAACTTCCTTTGTATCTGGCAATTTCTTGGGTGAAAAGGAGGGCGATGTTGAAGACGGTGTGTTAACATTCACAGTCACTTCCGGTTACCAGGGGACCAGAACACAGCATGCCCCAAACTGCCGGAGAGAATGCAGCCGCCTGGCCCTGGCGCTGGCGCTGGCCGAGACCTGTCCTAAAGGCAGCTGCTTCCTTTCCTGCGGAAGAGACACTAAGGCTGGTTGTTCTTTCAAGTGACTGGGAGGGAATGGAAAATCTGTAGGATGTGCACTGTGTTTCCGTGGACAATGTGAATAAATAAGCGAACATTACGGACTTTTAACAGCACAGGCAGCTGAACACTATGCGGCGGCTTAAGAGAGCAGGGCAGACCGGGCCCTCCCCCAGGCTCACCACTGCACTTCCGGCTCGCTCTTCTCGCTGGCGCTGGCCGTGGCGTCTCTCACCGGACAGTCGGCGCCCATCTCCTCCCCAGCGCTTAAGGCCGCCACGGGCGTTGGCGGCGGGAGGCGGGCGCCGTTCTCCGCCTGCTCCCCGCTGTCCGAGCCTGGTGCGCAGTCGCTGCTGCTCAGGCTCCCGCCGGCGCCGGGCAGCGCGCTGACCAGAGGGAAGCCGTCCGCCTTAGAGCCGCTCTTCTGGGCTTCCCGCTGCCTCTTTCGGTACTCTAAGAGGGAAACCTTAAGCGGACGGAAAAAAGCAAAGCTTTTATATTCTTGACTTACATGTCAGAATCAGTATTTTCTAAAGAATTACTAAATGTACATTAGGAAAATTATATAAAATAATTTGATTTCCAGTAAATAATTAACAATTATCAAAAGCCTACAATATGTCAGGCATTGTACTTGGAGGATTTACGTAGCATTATCTCATTTAATCCTCACAACAACCCTATGCAATAGGTATATATATATATTATCATCCCCATTTACAGGTGAGGAAATTGAGTAACTCACTCACTCAAGGTCACACCGCTGGTGAGTGTTGGAGCCGGGATTCGAACCTAGGTCTTACTTGAAAGCCCGTGCTCTTTCCACTATACTACATTGCTTCCCACAAAGTTGCCAACTGGACTCTGTTATAAAAATTAAAAGCACACATCACTAAAATTCTTTGACTTGCAAAGCGATAAGCCTATTAACAAATAAGTAAGGGCGGTAGCTGCTCCCGGAGTCCGTCCCGCTGGTCCCGCTGTCGCATGCACGGGCACCGGATCTGCGCAGCCGCCTCCCGCCCGGGGCCACAACTGCGGCAGGGCCTCGGGGGAGCCACTCCCTCCAGACAAGGCCGCCTTTTCGGGCAGTGAGGGTAACAGGAACATATCTGCCCCCTTTTCTGGTTGGGAAGTGGTTATTTTTTAAAGTTACTCATTTGGCAAAATAAATCACCGTGAAGTTTCTGTCTCTGAAACCACACCCCCTCCTCAGGGACTTTCCATACCACTAGGATTTTATTTTCTGTATTTTTAAGACAAGAGAAGAGGGTTTAAAATGTGCACATAAAAATTTTAACCTAGGGCCGGGGATTTAGTTCAGTGGTTTCGCTGCCTGCTGTGCAAGCGCAAGGACCCGAGGAGTTCGATCCCCGGTACCAAAAAAAAAAACCCCAAAAAACAAACTATAGCTAAAATTATAACCTGAATAATTAAGAATGCCTTCTGTAATACATATTCTAACTGAGCTAATAAAGAAGAAAACCAGAGGGAGTATGAACTGTTAAATCTGTAACCTTTTTCTTTTGGGGTGGATTCTGGGGGGTGCAGCTCCCGTCCATCAGAGCGTCAGTCACGGTCCGCCCGAAGCCCGAGAGCAGCCCGTCTTCGGCGGGGCAGAACACAGCCGCCTCCAGGAACACGGCTCTGGAGTCCTCCTGCGTCAGGCACTTGGACTCACTTACTCGGAAGCCGCCTCCAACCTCCAGCTGGTGCGAGGGCGTCAGGTCCCTGAGGTTGGAGTTCACGGAGAAGCTGACGCCGGCTCTGTCGGGGCTCTTCACCCAGGGCGGGTACAGCGCGGCCCGGCCCGGGTGGCTGGAGTCCAGCGCAACCGCCGGCTCGGGCCTGTCGTGCGCAGGCGCCTCCATGGTTTTGAGTAGGGCGGCCGGCTCCCCCGTGTCGAGCCCCGGGTGCAGATCTGTCGCGGGCTCCTTCTCGCCGAGGCCCGGCCTACTGGCCTCAGTCCTGCTCCTAGGGCTGGCGTAACCAATAGTCTTTATTTCTTGCAGACCCAGCTCAGTTACACTGGAATTTCTGAAAGGCCCCAATGTTAACAGGGTAGCAGATCTCTCATATCCCTGTTTATAGAATTAAAGACACACACATACAGAGTGACATCTTAAGACTGTTTACTTTAAAATCTACCAGTAATTTAGGCAAAATAATGATACTGGGAAAAATTCAGCAGTTTAACTTTTTTTTAATCAGCTCCTTACCTCTTGACTGTAAGTGCGTCTCTTTATTTCTGGAGAACTTTCTGGGGAAGAAATATTCTACATAAAAGGAATAATCAAAATTGAAAATTAAAATGCATAATAAAATCCATGAAATTTTTGAAATGAAAACTTAAAATGAGAAACTACTACATAGACTCTGGTTTTAGGATTTGTTTCCTGTTTTCTTTCCATGCCCCAGATAAAGATTTTTTTGGCCCCCACCAACAGGTAATGTGCTGATGCTGTGATGACGTTCGAGGGGGCACATCTCACACAGTGGCCTGAACCCCAACCATCTCGCTCAGGAACCAAAAGGTCCCAAATGAGATTTGCGCTCTGAGGTCAATCTGATACACACACAGTCATTGCTCCAATTAAAAAGTTTTAAAATGTTTAAATTCACATAAATGTATGCCTCCAATTTTCTCTTTCATTCATTTCTTAGCGCATTTGTTGTTCCCCATCTATGTGGGTTGAAAACCGTTTTCTCATTGACATTTCTCACCTCAAAGTGCATGGTGTTTCCTGGTGTGCCCGGGGTGACCGGGGTGACTGGTGAATATATGGGTTTGTAACCATTTCTACAGGTCTCATCGTCTGCTTTTACCCGTGGAGGAGTGGCAAATGCAGGGTCCGTAGGAGCAATGTCTGCATGAGTTGGTGTGGCATACGGTGAAGGAGTAGGTGTGGAGCTTTCTGAGTAAACAGAATCTAGCAATTGATAAAGTCTTCGTTTTTTTAGTGGTGTAGTTAAATCTGTTGGCAAAATAATAATCTATAAGAAATTATACTGTTGGTATTTGCTATAATCTGTAACATTCTGGAAATGTGATCTTCTGGAAAAGATATTAGTCTATAGTAATTATGATTACTTTCACCCCAAGACTAAATTATAATTTTAAAAAATGGAAAAACATGAAACCGTTTTCCCCATCAGTCTTTTATTAGTAAGTATTAACTTGCCTGAAGAACTGTAGGCCTAGAGGTCTCAAGGAAATCTTACAAGTAACTGGAGTACAGTGTTAATCTTACTGTGACTGATTTTTCTCAGAGTCCTTTTGAATCTGTTTGAAAACAGCAAGCCCAAAAGCCAAAACTAGGCCTTAAAAATTCAACCATAGTCCCCAAAGTACATTGTACTGCAAATCAAGGGTTTCCTGTCTTGTCTTGGAGACAAGCTTTGGAGAACAGAATGAGCCAGTCTGTGTAACAAGGTGCTCTTCTCTCAAGTCACCAGCCGTGACTCGACTATGCCTGCAATTAAACTATGTTCTGCTGTACTGCTCACACTAAAACAACACTGAAAATAAATCCTACCTGGGAGAGAGCAGCTATCATTTAATAGTAGTGGGCTTTTATTTTCCCCATTGACTATAGGACTTCTGGATCTTTCTTGACAGGGCGAGTTAAATCTATGTAAAATTGCTGAATTTTCTTCTTCCAGAGCCTGTTTCAACCATCGCTAAATAAAACAGAAAAGTAAATAAACAGGATTAAATTAGTAGCAATTCACTGTCTTCAATGCAGAGCTGATTTCAAAAGCATTTTTCTCCCAAGTAATAGCAGCAAGAAATGAGACTGGCATTTGTTTGGTTCATCCCAGATTCTTAACATCCAGAGAAACATTTACCTTTTTGCATGAGCCAGAAGCATTGTCAGTAGGTTCTTTTCTTCTCCTTTTTTCTGAGAGGAATGGTGAGGTAAACCTAATATAATGCTTGGGAGTAGAGTACACATGGGGACTGTAGGTGAGACCCGGCAGAGAGTTGAGCTGTGTGGCCAACACTTCTGGATCTGTAGTTATTCGCAGAGGCCTTTCAGAAAGGCTCTCTGAAGGTTTTCCTGTCTTCTCGTTCTTCTCACTTAACCATTCACTGACCAAGTGCTAGGAAAAAGAAAGATCTGGATCACTATGTATGTAATCGTACAGATTCTCTTATAGAATACCCTGATAACAAAATTAGAAACTAACATTGCCTAAAGTTATAAATTGGGTGATTTAAATAATTTATGCATGATGTCCAAAAAAGTCAACATGTCATTCTATATTTCCTATGAAATGTTTTACATGATGTTTCCAAGAAAGAAAATGGTTGGTTTTGTAAAATTATTATATAAAAATGCTAATGCTTTTAAAATAGTAAAACCTAGGAGAGACCTCAGTATCACAAACACTAAATTTAGGTTTGCTGCTGTTTTATACATATAAATTGGACAATTAGAAAAATCTGATTTTGGCAGTGCTTTTCAATCCAAAGAGCCTGTTAAAACCTCTCAGAGATAGCCGTCTGTGGTGGTGCACACCTGTAATCCCAGCACTTGGGGGGGTGGGGGGTGCTGAGGCAGGAGGATCATTGCGAGTTCATTATGTAACTTCTCCACATCTCAGTCTTTATGTGTGAAAAAAGAACCCAGCTCTACAAATAATGTTATGACAGTGAAAAAGTCAAACAGGGCTGGGATGTAGCTCAGTGGTAGAGCATTTATTTGCAAGACCCTGTGTGGTCTTTTTTTTTTTTCTTTCTTTTTTTCTTTTTTTTTGGTACCAGGGATCAAACTCGGGACCTTGCACTTGCAAAGCAGCCAGCAGAACCACTGAGCTAAATCCCTAGCCCTAAAACCCTGTGTAAAGTCAAACCATAAACACAGCCCTTAGAGTAATAGTCTCTGTCCCAGAATAAGTGCTATGGTTAGAGGGAATCCTGATAATTTGGCACTGCTTGAGCAATACTATGTTTAAAATAATACCCTAAGCAAAACCTGCAGGCAAGAGGGGATAGGGTGTAAGAGCCCACATCTCACACCAGGGGATGCAGGCACAGCACAATCATTTCATCATTTAATAATTAAAAGGCAGGGTTTATTTACAACTGAGAAAGCAGTTTCACTTCTTTAAACCTGAGTATTTTTCTTTCCACTTCACAAACACTGAAATTATTTTTTTGTCTTTGCAAGGTGAGCCAAAACACTGTTAAAGGCGAGTACTGACTTGCTGGCTGAAGCTAGATAGGGCAGCAAGGGGAACACAGACTGTAAATTACACACAACTGTGGTTAAATCTCTCTAATCTCATGGCTCTCTGGCAAGTGAGTTATTTAATTTCTGCCGTTAAAATATAATCCTGGGTGGTTTTGACAGCCTGCCTATAAACTAATGAATTAGATAAGAACAAAGACAAAATAAATGAAGTTTCAAAGTACTCTGTTATAAAAATACCAGAAAAGGATCTTTCTGTGAACTGCTCTCTGCTCAGAGCCTAAGGATTTATCACTTTGGTACTTCTGGTCTACTCAGCATGCTGTACTAGTTGGAGAAGACACAGCAGCTTCACAAGGATATCCTGCTATTTCTGAGCTGAAAAAGCCCAGGTTAATTTAATTTAGGAAATAGCTTCCCATAAATGCTTCATTAAATCTGACAGGTTTCCAAGGGTTCTTATTAATAATTTGATCGAAAACTTCTACCTTACAAATATGCACATATTAGTACAGTTTCTTTGCATTTTATTCTTATAATCTACCTACACAGTGGGAGTTATAAAAACACAAATGATGAAAGAGAAATGGCCTGGAGTTTAGCTCAGGGTAGAGTGCGTGCCTAGACACTCACGGGCCTGAATTCAGTCCAAGGCACCGCTACAAGGAAGAGCCAGGGGGACAGTGCACACGAAACCAGTTCCAGAAAAATGTAAACACGACACCTGTACATGCAGTGGGCACACTGATTTAAAGAAACCATGAATTGCAGCACAAAGTCTTGATGTATTTATCTTTACCATAGTGTGGTCATTTATAATAACTGACTGAACAGTTCTGCGATTCTTTTACAAATCTGCAAGTATAAAAATGATGTCCCATTTAGTTCATTAGGAAATGTGACAAACTGAATTTTTAAATTTACTAATAGCATAACACACTTGCTGGAAAACAATTCTTAGCAGTCACTAGGAATCGTACCTTCTTTGTTTTGGGGTACTTCAGAGGACATTTATGAAGTGCTGGAGCTTCGGTCTCAGTGACTATCTCTGCCACTGCAGTTTCCGTGTCTGGCTCTATGACGAGCACAGGGTTTTCAACCTCGTGTGGCTGTGTCGTGATCTCGACGTCGGGCGAGGGTGGCTGGACGTCGGAGCACATGCTGACCGTTCTGTGTCTCCGGCGTTGCTGCCCGATGTGCGTCCTGCTGCGAGAGAAGCTTTTCCTCTGCTTGGCTCTGTTCACTCTGGCAGGGGCAGGCTTGTTAGCAGCCTCTTCTTTCGCTTGTTCCTAATTCCACAGACAACACAATGGAACGAAGGACAATGGCATTAATCTACTCAAAAGCTTTCCAAATTTATGGATTCTGATACATAATAAATCGGCATCATGAAAAATTATGGGGTGTAGTTTTAAGTCTAAATTTCCCATAGGATTTAAAAATGCTATCAAAAGTCTACTATCAGGCGTAATTTTACACTTTTTATAGAGGGAACTAAATTGTGTGTGGAAATCTTATTTGAGGGCATTGAAATGTGAAAATAAACATAGGCCTGAATGATAATACCTGAGTAACCTCAGCATCACTGGCAACCTGTGTGTCTCTGCATTCCGCTTTAACTTCTGTTCTGGCTGTGCTGATCCTTTCCAAAGCTTGTTCTCTTCTCTTCTCTCTTTTTTCAAGTCTGGCGAAAGCTTGCAAAATTGCTTCCATTTTCCTTTCTTCTCTTGTCTACAAAATTTAAGTTTTAAGTGGCATAATATCATTGCTCTGAAGTCAGTAGTCAAATGTCATAGCAAGTTTGAAAACGCACTGCTGTGATACTGTTAGCAAAGCAAATCTACTGTTGGGAGGAAAGGGGTGGACAGTTCACATTCATTCAAAATCTGCTGAGTCCCAAGCGCCATCCCTGTAAGGCCTATTTCTACAAATATATTTCATGAAAGGAAGGCTTGGCTGATTGTTAATAAGGGTTTTTTAAAAGACTCAAAATCTACCTTGCTTTACCAAATTAAAAAACGTCTAGGGGGTCGGGGATTTAGCTCAGTGGCGCTGCCGCCTGCCACACAAGCACAAGGTCCTGAGTTCGAGCCCCAGTACCAAAAAAAAAAGTCTTAATATAGAAGCCAGTCTTTTATAAAAAATTCAGAATTCCTGAGGTATGATGTGCACAGAGCAGTCAATAGGTTACTGCTGTGTTGTGGTGGGATGGTTGTGGGGTGAAGTCTTGGATTCAAATCATGACTCCACCAGGATCTCTAACCTTAAGCAGGTTATTTAACCTTTCTGAGATGCTAAGATGGGATAATGCTTACACTTCACTGAATTATTCCTAAGTTCAAACAAAATGTCTGAGTTTTTCAGACAGTACTTGGGAAAATGGCAGGCATCCCACATGTGTTAACTATCCCTTTTACTTTAGCCCTCTTGCCCTTCTGCCCTCCATCATCATTTTAAAGGCATTCCTCTACCTTCTGCTCTTTCTTCCTCAAACTGACACTTCAGAACAGGGCCTCAGGGAACAGCAGGAGTCCCTTCGAGCAAGACGCAGAGCTTCGACCAGAGGGGCTGGCAAATGCTCTAGCTTTCAACCAGAACAGAAGCACCTCCATCAACTGTCCAGTTCTCCAAATGAAAAGAACCAGGTCCTGAGGCTCAGATCCACTAGTCTTTCCTCCTCCACTGTCATCGGTGTGGGGAAGAAAGAAAGAGACCAGAAACTCCAGGTCTGGCTGCCACGGTCTCATCAGCATCGGCTCACATCCCACCATCAGCAGCTGAGATTCAAGCACTAAGACGCCTACACTCTGCTTGCTTACTCTTTCTGGAATTTTTGTCACACTCAATAAAAGAATAAAGTAGGATATCAACAGAGCATCTGAAAATACCTCTAGTTTCCAATTTATGGCCACAAACTGCCATCCCGCCGGTGTGGCACGAAATGTGTTATCCTCATCTTTACAGGCCAGGAAGCGGGTCCAGCGAGGTAAGACCACCTGTTTATGAGTCCACATCTGGACCTTAGCTCTCCCAGTCTAGGGTGGGCAAAGACTGGGCACTGGAACTGGACGTTTTAAGGCTAAATTCTTAGACATTTCTTATCTCTGAGTTGACCTCTTTTGGTCATACTGCTTTCTTTAAAAACTATGAGTGGGTATCAGGGATCTTCTAAAACTCCTAAATTTAGAAATCCCAAGTACAGGGCTGGGGATTTAGCTCAGTGGTGCTGCTGCCTGCCCTACAAGTGCAAGGTCCCAAGTTTGATCCCTGGTACCAAAAAAAAAGAAATCCTAAGTACAATAAAAAGTCCATTTTCACAAATGCTTCACCTGTTGCACGATGTTGAAGGAAAGATGTTAAATTTCTGTAGCTTCTTCAAAAACATTTTAAAATTGTGGGGAAATTATATTTTCCCAGAAAAAAGCCAAATGCCCTAGCGTGAATCATTTATGTGTGAAAGAGATGTTTTCTACATTATGATTACCTGGATTTTCTAAAACACTTAGGAATTTATGCCAGGAGAAGTTTCTCTGACACTTCCGTTTTGGATGGGGAAGTAAGGCTCAGATGAGTGATAGGAAGACCCAGACTCGTGCAAAGAAAACTGGAACTTCCCTGTAAATAGTACAATCTAGTTAAAGCAAAGCCCTTTATTTAAAGATGGTTCTTGGTCTTCAGAGTTGGTCGGGATCTTAAAAACTGATGCAGCCCTATCCTGGTAATCCAAGTCCTTGTATCTGAAGTGACTCCATCAAAGGTGTGATTATTATACGCAGTCCCGACTGACTCCTCATGTAGGCTACTTTCCATCTCACAAGTACTCACCTGCCACCCTATGTGAAGAACAATGAAACACTAGTCTTCCCACATCACTACAGCTCTTAACCGTGCAGGGATAAAGCCAAGAGCAGTAAACAGATTTCCTAACAACTTTGATCCAGGATGGGAATGTAAAAATGCCTAGTTTTTTTTGAACAGTAAAACAGTGTTTTACTATATACTTCAGGCTGGCCTTGAACTCACAGCAGTCCTCCTGCCTCAGCCTCCCAAGTGCTAGGATTACAGGCATGTGACACCATGCCCAGCCATATGTGGTTTTCTGCATGGATAACAATCATTTGCACACTTAACCAACTTTAAAATTCTTTAAGATTCATACGTCATTCAATTTGTATGTTCATCATGCTTCCCAGCATTATCTGACATATAACTAGGTAATAATATTTACTGAAAAACATGTTTATATTGAACTTTAGTTACAGATAACTGTAGATAGCTAGAGAAGTAAAGGGTCTTAACCCAGGAGACTGGCCATTGCACCCAAGACTGCTTGATGCAGTTCAGAGCATCCGCAGGGCTGTGTGGCCTGCATATTCTCTGACTCACTGAAGCGTGGGTCCTGCATTGTGTGTGAGGTGGCAAGCTGAGAGACCCAGACATGGAAGCAGAGGCCTGTATAGCTTTCTACGCCCTGTCCACATGGGAGTTAGATGTTAAAGTATGTGGGTCTCCTTTGTGACCTACTGGACATTATTATGATGTCCTTTTTCAGTTATGGTTTTTTGGGGTTTTTTTTGGTACTGGGGATCGAACTCAGGTCCTCGCGCTTGCGCAGCAGGCGGCGAAACCACTGAGCTAAATCCCTGGCCCCAGTTATGGTTTTCTAACAGTAAATATGAAGTACTATAATTTCCTATAACCTAAAGAAGAAAAAAAAGTCTGCTTCATAATACCACTATTTGCTGAGGTATGGGTATTCTGAGAATCTTTATTCTAACTATGTACTTCAAAGAATAAAGACATGGTAGTAAAAACTTGTATTTTCAACTTTTGGAATAGACACAGGTAATTTTTGTTTTAAGGTTCAAAAGATGGGGAAAGCCTAGCACCATACATTCAAGGGTACATAATAAAGAACATGAATTAATGTGTTACATAATATAGCAACTGAAAAAAATAAACTTTGCCAAGTAGACACTGTAATTTAGCTCAGAAAATGTGTCTGGTGATTTAATGTACTAAAAATAAGCCTGTAATGCTGCTAGGTAGCTTTAGGGGAAATCTTCTGGGGTGGGGGTGGGGGGCTTGTAGGAAAGGAAGAAAGGCAACTAGGGATACCAGATGGACTTTTCTACCCGCTGCCAAGTGGGAAGCAGCCCCTGGGGTGCGGAGGCCTGCACCCCACCGCAGCAGCCAGAGAGCAGACACAGCCTGTGGTCTTCTCAGCAGCTGGCAGTAGCGTCCTGGCTCAGCCCCAGCAGTGGTCTCCCTGGTCTGCAGTTTTGCTTTCTTCATCTTAAGTACCTGTGGTCTGAAAATATGAATCCTAGAAATCATAATTTTAAAGAAAATCTGTCTTTTAAGGAAAGGCCAGGGCCCACCTACAAATTTACCCTACTGTATGGTCTTGTAGTACAGAAATTAAAAAGACTTTTTAAGTTTCTCTTACCCTTTCCAACAGCAATAACAGACTGTAAATCTCAAGATTCATAAAGTGATTGGTTACTAATAAAAGTTGTTGAAAGCAGCACGTGTGACTTGTGTGGTACCTGTCTCCTCTGTCGCCCTCCTAGCACTGTCACTGTGCTGACGCTGGGGACTGGCTGCACCCCACCCTGCCTTGCCTGCTCTCCCATTAGCACTCGGTGACTCTGACCACGACACACTCTACACGTCTAAGAACCACTGAGTGTTACATAACCTGGGTGTCACTGCTATGTGAAGACACAGAACTGGAAGCACTGAAGGAGGGCTTGGGACATCTTAAATTTATTACACAGTAGCTAAAGCAGAATAACCTCATTTTGTTTGAACAGAATACCTATAAAAACAAACTGGTCCCCATTGACTGTTCCACACCACCACGTTATTAATTATCTTCACAAACACAATTCCTAATCTCTGATGAGACAAACTTAGAAAAGTGTCAGCCAGGATCAACGTAAGTGTACATAAGGTGAGCACAGTGAGTTCGATGATTCCATCACAGTCCTGTGCTCAGGTGACTTTTCTGGCAACAAATTTATTTTTAACAAATTTACCCTCCCTCATATTTTACTATTATTAAAACTACAGATGTGCATGGATCACACCTGTAATCCCAACACCCTGGGAAGCTGAGGCAGGAGCATCACAATTTCAAGCCCATCCTAGACAACTTAGTGAGACCCTGTCTATGGTGGTTAATTGACTGTCAGCTTGGATGGGGATGGCCAGCTGAATTGAGTCACTGTAGTTCTAGGCGTGGAAGACCCACTTTAAGGAAGATAGAAAGGAGAATGGGAAGGAAGAATTTCAGCTGATTTTCCTTGGAAGAGCTTCATTTCGGCTGGTTTTCCTGAGGAGCTTTGGTTGTTCTTTGGAGAAGCTCCGGTCCTCACCATCTGTCTTTTGAGGAGCCTTGCCCCAGCCCTGCAAGCTCTTGTAGGCACTGACTAATACACTGTCTCAAAAAATAAAGGGCTGGGGGTGTAGCTCTTGCTCTGGGTTCAATCCCCAGCACTGGTGGCAGGGGGCACTCTGTATCTTTGATGGTGATATTCTAAACCAGGTCACTTCCTAAAGACAGAATAGCAGTGTAGATCCTGAATAATCACATTTTCTTGGAGTGTGTCAGCCACTGGATAGAAAATCAACTCACTGTCAGAGGTGCTGAAGTTTAGGAGATGCTGACCAACACAGTCTCAAGAGTTCTGAAGCACAAAGGTGTGGCGTTAGGGTGGAGCTTCAACTCTGCTGGGTGTTTCACGGGGCGTGGCCTGGGGTCTGTGCATTCTTCCCCTACTCTGCCTGCAGGTGCCAGGCCCTTCCTATGATGTTCCTGCCTTGGAGCCCACAGATCAGGGACTGAAACTGTAAGCAAGTTACACCTCTCATCGAAGCTGTGGTGGTCGGTGTCACATCTGAACAATGAGAAGCTAATACATGGGAAATCTCAAAAGGGTGAGGACTGAGTACAGTGTTTACTAAACTCAACTTTCCAAAGAGCTTTTTTTTGCATAATGTGTCAGCTTAGATTTCTGTGGAACACTTCTTGGTGTGAAGGACAAGGGCTGAAACTCACTGAAAATCCTGAATAGTCTTGGGGAAGACCTCCTGGACGATAAGGAAGCTTCATTTACCTGACTTTCCTCAGTGGTTCCCATGAACATTTAGTCAGCTCAGCATTTACTAACCATTTACATTTTCTTAATGTGCCATGCACTTTTCCCCACTAGGAGCAGGGCTGTGACAATAAAGTACAAACTCTTCACCTCATGAAATTTATGTTCTGGTAATACACAATTAAGTTTAGATTCACCTAGCTGTCTGACAGGTCCATCCAGGGATCTCAGTCCTGGGTGATTAACTTAATATCCTTGGTATGTATGGCACATTTCTGTCCTTTTAAATGTGACTACCACCCTGAACTAACTTCTACAGGCTCCGGTTTAAGCAATCTGACTATAATAGGCCATGAAGTATCACCAACTATAATTTCAAGGTGTCTTAAGGTGATTCCAAAAATATTTCAGAAATATATTAACAGATTCTATAAAGAAGGTTCTTTTCATATCGTTATAAATGGGAGAGAATGTTTTTAATATAAATCTTTGAAAAACTTTGCTATTTTTAAGATGTCTGCTGATTAATGGTATGCTTCCCAGTATCTAACCCTCTTCCACATGCTCTTTGACAAGACTGGCCAACTAACCCCACCTTAACTAAGGAGTCCCGAGTGGGTCCACCTGTGGTGCCTGGTTTGGAATCAGGTGAGGACACACAGCCTACTGTCTTTCCAGTGGCTCAGCTGATCTGGGCTCAAAGACCTCCGATGCCCATTCAGATTCTGTCACAGAAGTGCCTCTTACCAGCAGAAAGGAGACTTATAGTAACCCTCATCTGCTCCATGCAATTTAGCCCAAATTTACTTTTGTAAGCAGGTAACAACTTCTTGGGAGGGAGGGGGTGGCATCACAAGACAAAGCAATTAATGGATGATAAAAAAGAAAATGTTATTAATAGAAAAAACTCAAGGAACAAAGGAGGTGGAAGGGTGGAACTGAGAATAAAAGAAGCTTCTCCCTCCTGGCTATGTAATAATTTGAATTAATATTCTTTGGTGAAATATTCATCACTCAAATATTCATACCCAGAAACCACAACTTACATGAATAGTACTCTATGACCAGCCTTACCCTATTATCCATATAACCCTCTCCTCTCCCCAAATACAGCCTATAATCCTCAGCCACAAATACTTTGTCATATTCATAATTCTCTCTGGTCTATTTCCCCTGGAAAAATAAATCCAAATTCAATTCCATACAACTTGTTAAAATAGACTTGTCTAAACCCTACTCACAAATCCATCACAGGTATTACCCAGAATTTGTAAAATGGTACATACCTCTCATATAAATGATACTTCTCAGCTTGAGTTACTGTCATATTTCCATCTCCTGTATCACTTTTTTTTTTTTAAAGGATTTTTTTTTTTTT